ATATATATATATACATTTCAGAAGGGATAACCTGGCCCAAGTATCTTGCTCAGGCCTATATATCAGGTCCACATCATGCGGCAACTGCCCCAAGCCTATACCTAGAGTAACCAATGTACCTTTAAACAAGGATACGACTCCCCAAGATTGGTACACTAGGCTGTTTTCTTTTGCCTGCATGCTCCATGTCAGAAAGCTCTCAGGGGAGGAGGTGGCCTGCATTCCCCTCGTGGAACTTAGCGATGTGAAGTCGTTGAAGCAGCGGTTGCATCAGCAGCATGGGCTGCCACCACGCTTCAGGCAACGGCTCCTTCACATGGAGAACACTTTAGATGATGCCGTGATGCTGGAGTCTCTGCTGGATCTGCGCGGTTCTGTGGGCGAAGGTGTCCTGAATCGGCGATTGGATCCGGACCTTGTCCCTGACGCCGTGACGGATCTGCAGGTGGTGACTTTGGCGTTCTCCGAGGACCAGCCGCTAGAGTTATGGAGAGCCGCCGGACAAGGGCATTTAGCCGAGGCAGGGGGAGCAACGACGTGATCTCGGATTTACTGATCTATCGAAAACAGGGGCTGGACCCTATAAATCCCTTTAACAAACGGATCAGATCCTACTCCTTCATATGGTTTTGGGGTTAGGGTTTAGGGGAGTGTTGATAATAGGGGTAGTCATGACAATCAGTTGAATTCAGTAGCACAACACTCGGGCATGTTCCTTAATTACCCCAGGGCTCATGATATGGGAGTTTCCGAAAATANNCTAATTTTTGGAAACTCCCATATAAGCGCCGACTTTTTGATAATACCATCCAGGTGGAGTCTCTGCTGCAGCTTCCGATGGACCCGGATCTGAGGTATTTTTCCGCCACACCGTTGATGCGCGCATCTGAGAACGACCACGCGAATGTTGCACGGTTGCTCCTGGAGGCCGGTGCTCAGACGGATTTGCAGCGCCACAACGCGGGCGAGACAGCACTGATGGATGCAGCAAGAGAAGGTCATTCTCAAGTCGTGCAGCTGCTTCTTGAGGCAGGAGCTCAGAAGGATCTGCGTGACTTCGAGAGCAGCACGGCGCTCATGTATGCAGCTTTCAACGGTCGTGATGAAGTCGTGCGGTTGCTCCTTGAGGCGGGTTCTGAGAAGGATGTGCGTGACGAAGATGGCCGTACAGCGCTCATGGACGCAGCGAGCAGAGGTTATGTTGCAATCGTCCAGATTCTCCTGGAGGCCGGGGCTATGAAGGATGCTCGTGACAATACGGGCGGTACTGCGCTCATGAGTTCAGCCTTCAACGGCCATTCTCCTGTCGTGCGGTTGCTGCTGGAGGCCGGCGCTGAGAAGGATGCGCACGACGATTTTGGAAAGACAGCATTGATTTATGCCACCGAAGCCAAGTGTCATGATTGCCGCCTATTGCTCGAGGCCTCTGCAAAAAAAAGCCTCAGGACCTATAATATACGGGCCTAAATAACTACCTNNATAATGGGCCCCAAAGTCCTATTCTACTACGTTAACCCAACTTGATGCTGCTAGCTAAACCGGAACCCTCAACCGTAGATTTAATGCCCGAAGCCCTAAACTACGAGACAAAATCGACAGTCCTGAAACAAGACATGCTTGAACCCTTAGAGTGCTTTGGTTCAGCGTTTAGGGTGCTTGGGGCTTACCATTAGGGGGTCCCAGTGCGTAATGGACGCATGCTGACCCACAATCGCACCATTCCCAGGCCAGGTAGATCAGTATGGGCACTTTGGACCCTTAGACAAGCCCTATAACGCCTATGCGCTCAAAGACTTAGCAACAGAAAACCCGAAGGCTCCATGTACCCAT